TAAAGATAATAACAATCGTATGCACACAACAGTCATTGTCTTTTTATTTCAAATAATTATGATCTGTATTACGCATTCTGTAATCATCATCAGCTATAACCTACAATAAAAAACACGACTATATATACATGGTAGAAGTAAACAGATCTGATATGGTTCTCTGGCACCGTCTTTTGCAACATTCTCTTGAAATAGCTTTTAACTGATATGAAAACTCAATACCTTTCGATGATATTGTCGATATTGTCTAATGAAATCGCTAAAAATAAACCCATTTAGTAAAGTCAGAAAAAAAGATGTGGGTGCTACCCGAAGTAAGATGCTCGTAGGTCAAACTCAGAATGAAATTTCTTTTTGACTTTATTATACATATTCTGAATCGCCAGGTCGAGCTGATCACGAATATCACCTTTTTAGTTCGAAAAAAATAAAATCTTGATGGAGAAAAATGCGAAATACTGAGACGAGGTCGAAAAAGCTAAAAGCTGTTCTTTTTCAGAAAATGGTTCACAATTTTTTCCTTTACGTTTTTACTTATTCTCATTAATATTTTCAAATTCTACGTTGAAAACTGATTCTAGAGAGGTCTCTTTCAATGGCGTTTGGTCAAAACTGAAATTTTGGCTGAGCTCAGAATAGAGACCTGCAACCCGACCCGAACCCGATCCTAGGGTCGGGTCGGGTTCGGGTTAAGATGTTGTCGGATCGGGTTCGGGTAGAATATTTGGCGACGCAATTTAAAATATAAATAATATTTTTAGCTTTGTATTACTGATTGAAAAAGTTATCTCTACTGGAATTTCCAGTTGAAAGACTTGTTTCAGAACAGCTGCATTCACTAAGTCTATTAATGATTGCTTTCTTTGCACATAAGAGAGTACTTCCTGCACTGAAATTAATGGCAATACATCCCTTACTGCTTTTTTTCAATGTACTGTTTTAAACACCCGTACATAGAAGACTTTACTATAATGCTCTCTACTTGCTATCTTAGTATTAGGTGATACTGACTGACCAATGAGAAAAAGGATGTGGTCATCATCTCGGTTAAGATAATCTATTGACCAAGTGTACTGAGGAATTTTCAATAGATTAACCTTTTAGACGAAATGACCAATCAGAAGTCGTTCAAAAATTTGTTTTTGAACTACGAGATTCTACAATATGCACCGAAAAACTTTTGTCTAACAAGACAAGTCTATATTCTTTTTCAAACACAGTTTTCTGGTGAGATTGTTTTCATCGGGTCGGGTCGGGTTCGGGTTAAGTTGCTGTCGGGTCGGGTTCGGATTCAGATGTTATCGGGTCGGATTCGGGTTAAGTTGTTGTCGGGTCGGGTCGGGTTCGGGTTAGGTTTTCTTAACCCGTGCAGGTCTCTAGCTCAGAACTGGCTAAGCTCAGCGGTCGATACCCTCAGCTTGCAAATCTATCTAGTTTTTTGGGTTAAAGGATAGGTCCCCCATTCACATACCGTTAGATAGCCCAAGTGATAAGCTTTAAAAGTACGGAGAGCTTTTTTTAAAATTCCTTTCCATTGCTGAGAAAATTCATTTTTTCTGAATAAGATGGAAAAAATTCTCAATTGTGCCCGTAATTCTCAATTTTCTTTATCAGAACTCAAGTTTTAAGCAATAAAAACATCATATTCGGAATCAGGATCAAAAGTTGAGTGGAATGATGTGTATTTCGAAACTTTTAGCTGATTTTCATGTTTTGTCGAATTTTCGCGTTGAAAAATGCTCGAGATTTTCATCAAAACATGAAAATCAGCTAAAAGTTTCGAAAAACTGGCGATTCAGAATATGTATAATAAAGTCAAAAAGAAATTTCACTCACGAGTTTGACCTACGAGCATCTTAGAAAATCTAGGCATATGTTTGTAACAGAATATGTTCAGAAAAGTCAGGGTTACGAGTAGTGAAAAACTGAAGTCTTAGAGACGAACGTTTTCTATACTTCTGTCTTCGCTATTATTTCGCTGATTTTCCAAGGCGGTTATTCTAAGTAAATCCGCTTTCTAAAGGCATAAAAATCGAATTTTGCCATTTTCAGTTATTTGTAGGCTAACCACGAGATTCGAGATACCTTTTTGATCAAGCCAAGTTAATCCAAGAATTTTTCAACATTCCCGATTTCTGGCTAGAAACAACCGTTTTCTACAGAATCTAGTGAAGATTCCACTAATTTTTCATCGCCACAGATCACTCAGGATGTATTTCGGCTATGATGATCTAGCTGGATACTTCTAATCCCTTGCGGTCTGCAAAACCTAGCATTGTAACATTCTAGTACTTCAAAAAAAAGAAATGACTCTCATGAGGAATGTGAATCACAGTAAAAGGTAACTGTTTAGTTACTGTGTTTCTCATTGTTCCTGAAGCCGTCGTAGCAATTCAGCTACCATCACCCGTTCCTCTGCTTGAAGTGGTCTGCTGTTCTCAGCCGCTTGCTTCATCAGTATTTGTTGCTTAGCGGTTAGTTGTCATAACACATTTCCACGCTCATAATTTAACCTAGCTATAAGCTTGAATCATCATATTTCCACTGATCGTCTTTTGGATACAGCATCAAATCGGCTGTAGAGACAACGATATTTGCAAGCAATACTGGAACGAAAAGACGACAGTTCGTCGATTCGAAATTAGATCATATGATTATTTTGTATTATATAGACCAACAAAACGGACCAGAGAGTTTCTTGTTTTTCGGCAGCAACATTGCATGAATAGTGGCACTGTGTTTTTGGTGCATTCTTTCTTTTCTTTCTGAATTTTCTCGTCTAATACGATATTCGGCATTAGCTTGATGGTCAGAGAATTCACCTTGTCCGAGAACAAAATAATACCATGTAAATGCCTCATAACGAAGCATCATTTTATATTCTTTCGTAGTATTTTTATGGGGTAGTAACAGAATTTGGTATGGTTCTCTTGTACCATTTGGATAGGTGATATGTGTCGAGCATCTTTCATAGAGATAGGCTTTTGATAACTCATTCATTAAACTCTTATAAATATACGAAAAGTTTCTAAGCCCAAAACACATTTTTCTTCCACTTATGGAGCTTACGGCGCCTAATCTGAACTTTTGTTTGAAAAAAGAACGTGCAACTATCAGTCTGTACTACCAAGAGAATATCCTCCCATTTCCAGAAGTTTTCTACGTTACGTAGTTCTCTAGATCACGCGGCTCACATTTTGCAAAAACATATGAGTAACCAGAAACAAAATAAAATCCCCTGCAAAAACACAATGTCTGTCGACATAAATGCATTCTGAATAATCAATACACAAGACAACATGAAGCGAGAGGGGAGAAATATTCCACACATTTAACAGGATTTTATCTTTTCTTTAGTGATGTTTTCAGAAGAATAACAAGTCAATTTTTATAAAAATATGTAAAAGGAACAGATATGAATATTTGATTATACACAAAAGAAAAACAGATTTGATCAAAAAAGAATTAACTGACAAAGAACAAACAAATAACGATAAAGTCCAGTAAAAACAAAAATTAGTTTACTCTATAAAACGAAACTACACAATAACATGAATTTTGTTGGTAAAATAAAAAACAAAGAATTAGTGGAAGTGATCCGAGTTGTATGTGCAATATCAGGTTGCTGTTGTTGATAGTACTGGTGGTGTGGATGATGTAGCAGATGCATATTTTTCATAAACACGTTCAATTATTGCTTGCACCTCACCCAGATAGGGCCTATTTGCGGGAGTATGGTCCCAACAGCGTGTCATCACTAAAAGTTACACCACTTATACTCAATACCAGAAAATGGTCTTGTTAATACTTACGCTGCCAACAATCATCATCAAAATTCATCAATCGTTCAGGTCGACAACCTAGATACAGAGTTCATTAGAAAAGTGTTAACTATATTGTAATACTGTACCTTTCTTTACTGCTGTCCATAAAACATCTTTACTTCCACAAACATCAAAATTTGTTGGTAATTTAACACTATTTGAACAAATATACTAAAATAAGATGTTCGATAAAATAATTCCAATAATAAAACTTCAAACTTACCCATAATAATATGCCAAATGCATAAATATCTACTGTATGATCGTATTTAAGTGTAAATAATTCTGGTGCCATGTGAATTGGAGTACCCACAAGTGATCCACTCATCATTACTTCTGGTTTACAAAAACCAAGGTCAGTCAATCGAGCACGATTTGTTTCATCTAACTGCAAAACAAAGCATAACATAACAAAATGGAACCAAAATATTGAAAATAACATACCAAAACATTTTTTAATTTAATGTCACGATGAACTAAACCTAAACCATGTAAATATCTTAAACCTTCGACAACATCAAGTGCTATTCTCATCCTGATTAAAAAATCAATGCCATTTTTTAATGCCGCATACAAATCTCTTTTTAAACGTTCGAGAACAAGTAGGACAGCTGATTGATCACGATCAGTACTTTCTATAACCGATCCAATTAAACGTGCGACACGTGGATGATCCGGGATACGTCTTAGATAGTGGAATTCTAGTGCTAAATCATTCCAGTGTTTATCATCCGGTGGTACAACTGATTTTATTACACACGATCGTTCATTTGCCCAACTTTCGCATGCATAAACCACTCCATATTGACCTCGACCAATTTCTCGTCCTTGTACTGGCATACCTAGAGAATAAGAACGAGACTTTAGTATATAGTTGTATTTAGACGATGTTTATTTTACCATATTGAATAAGATCTTTTAACGATGTACTTTCTAATTCCAGACGCGCTATTTTTGGTGTTAATTCTTTTCTTACACGTTGTTGTTTCTCCTCTGTACGTTGCAATCTGCCATTGTGACGATTTTCTAATTGTTTTAATAAGTGTTCAAAACTATCATGTGACATTCTTATTCTATCATTCAACTGTGTACATACGGACTTTGCCAATCTACAAATAGTCTTATATTATCATCTTTGAAGATTAAAAATGAAAGTAACTTGCTTTGATTCACTAAGTCCATCTAAAATATTCAATGCAACAGATTGTTTAAACTGTGGATCAATTCGAGGTGAACTCGACCAATGAAATGTACGAAATAGCTGAAACCAGAAAAATCAAAACCAAACAAATAAACTTGCAACACAAATGTTCACATTTACTTCTTTCATTTTCTCAATGAGAATTTTAAATAAATTAGAACTTGTTGATACTGTAATATTAACCTGATACGCCGATTGAAGGATCTAAATAGCAAAATATTATTTAATAAAAGGCTTAAAATTTGTATTAAATAAAACAACATACTCCTTGTAATGCTTTACTAGCCGATTGTTCATTGAGATCTTCTTCAGTCATTTCCAAACTCCGTAAACATCGAGTTAATGTTCCTAAATGGAAAATAGGAAAATGTTAAACATATGGTTGAACTATCACGTGTACAAACCTATATAGCTTTCACGTAATACTTCAATTGAATCAATTAATTTATTAGCTATGGTTTGATTTAACTGTATGAGTACAAATTCTTGTATAACACTTGTACACTTTTTCAAATCTCTTGAATGTCTAACAGTTAAATCATCAGATAATTCAATACCTAACAACAGCAAACAATTAGCGTAAAAAACTTTTGTATCTTTTGATAATTACCGGCTATGTCAAGTTGAGCAGCTTGATCTGTGAGATGTTCTCTCATATCATCAGCCGCTTGTAATATAACTCTTTGTATTTCACTTTGTTTCGAGTTTGTCAATGCAATGAGTGATTCATATAAATTTTTCTCTTTTTCACGTGCGTATGATATTCGTTTTGGTGTGATCAGTATATCTCTAAATACACACAATATTGACAAGAGTAACATTACTAGTTGAGATACTTACCGTGCCATATCAAATGCACTATTGTTGAATAAATCCAAAGAAAGTTCATGGGAACGTTGCAATATGCCAGCTGAGACAAAAAAAAACCTGCATACATTTTTCACATAAGATTAAAGATCTCATTACCCGCTCGAATACACAAACGATCAAGATGTTTTCGTATATAAGTTAACAATAATGGAAAATTTTGGCATCCATCAATCATATCACTTTCAAATAATGGTGATGATATTTCACTTGGATCAGTTGTTTCTGTGCTCATCATAGATAAAAAGCCAAGATCACATAATTGTCTGAATATGTGTACGCATGTTGTTTCACTCTTTGTTCTCGGTATGAAACCTGGCGATAAAGATATTCTAAAATAAATAAGTGTAAATGTATAGTATTTTGAATTCTAATTGTAAAAAACATACTCTGACATTTTTGGTCTTGATTTATTATTACTATCATCCATGGAACGAATAAATAAAATGGGTTCATTTGGTACAATAGCACGAAAACGTCTTAGATCATCAGTATCGTTCTCGGACAATGTTTCTTCATCAATAACATAGATAAAAACGGGTGTAACAGCTTCTGTTATTTGTATATAGATTTGTTCCATATTCAATCGTTTTTGATTACTAGGTGTTACAACAATTTGTAAATCGTCTATTAATAAATCAATTGGTTTTCGTATTTCGAATGTAGCTGTTTCACCATTTGTATATTCATCATCGCTATCATTAATCATTAGTTCTTCTTTAGGAACAGTTTTCCATGAAACATCATGAAATAATTTTTCAGTATCAAGTAATTCAAAACATCCAAATAATGTTAAACTAGCACCAAATGATGGACTATGCTAGAAGTGAAGCAATAAAAAAGATTAGAATAATTTATTTTCCAAATTAAAATGAAAAACACACATTTCTACCTTTATTCGGATCATACGAACAATATCATCTTTTGTGATGGCTGGTGGTTCGGGTAACAATTTTTCATGAAGTAATTCATTGACAAAACGTGCTTTACCCGAATAATTTTGTGAACAAACAATTAAAGCTAATGGACGTGTTATCAATGATTCGAGATAATCACGATCATTAATTAATAGTTGTATTGTTTCAGCTTGTTCTGAAAAACAAAAATAGAAATTCTTCAGAGATTATTGTTTGCTCGAGTATAAACAAGAAAGTTTGAACGTGCCGCACTCATTAGACTGATGTTCAATAGCAATAGATCGAGTAGTAAGTATAAAATAGATCTACAAAATTCAATTTATTATCTTACCTGGAGGCAAAACTTTTGTATTAGTAATTTCATCGTAGGATTTGTCAGTATCATTTAGTAGCTTTTGCAATAGAAGACAATGTGAACGAAAAGTTCTTATTATATTTGCAAATTGATCATTAAATGTTGGCGGAGCTGGTGACACTGGTGAGGTGGGCGTTGACGAACCCAACATTCTTCCTTTCTCTTTTCTAATCATATCCAGCTTAAATTCATCTTAAAAATAAATCAAAACAATCGACTAAATAGACTAAAACTTGAGAAAAAACATTGCACCAAAATATTTATGAAAAAAAGAATTATCTATCTATTTATAAATATAATAAGAAAAAAAAACAACAAAGTTGATATAACTAATAGTATAAATATACATGGCCTATGGTCACATATGTAATGACATAATCATAAAGATCTCAGTTTAACTAAAAGAAAACAAAATAAAACAACTAGAGAAGAAAAATATAAAATAAGTCTCAAATAACTGATCAATTTTGATTTTGGTTTTCATTCATACTATCGTCATTCTGTTCTACATTCAAATTCAGTAGTGTAAATGGATCACTCTTGTCATTGATATTTTCCAATTTGTATTGAACAATTTCTAGACGATCGAACTATATAGAAGATAACATAAATCTGATATATATATGAGCATATATCTATTGAAAGTTGATGAAAAGATCAGAAATGAAAGAAAGTAGAAGAACTGACGAAAAATGACCAATCTCAAGTAAATTTTGCAGATGTACTATTTTTTAGCGTTATTGTGCTTTATCTATAGTTGTGAGAATTCCAGTTACTGTGAAAATTCTTTGATAAAGTTTTGAAACATCGTAATTGGTAACTTACCATTCGTGCAACTTGACCATCCTACTATTGCCATGATGCTGGATTTTCAAATGGTGAATATTCGCAAAGTCCCTGGAAAAATTGACTTAATGGGGCAGTTTCTATTGTTCCACACCATTCGTACGATAATTTAATAATGATGTATTGTAAACATGACCGAGACGACGTTGTTCATATTATAATGTTTTCGATTGTATACTGCAAGTTTCATTTGTTGATTGAGTATTGTTAGTGTCGTTATCATTGTCTAGAATAGATACTGTTTTTTTCAATAAAAAACACGAAATATCTGTTGTTGATTTCAATCTTTTATCTAAAGTTGATTTGAAAATAACTAGTTCTTAGCGGTCCTATTTGTTATCTACTATTATCCAAAATGAAGTTTTTGAAACTTTACATCGTACATAGTAAAGACTTGAACATTGACGATAATTTGATAATAAATTCGATAATAATTGATAGAAAGTTTTTATAAAAATGGACCTTGAAGTAATAGAATCCAAAACTAGTATGCTCAATCGTGTAAACCAAATATTTCAGTAAGAAAAAATGATGAACAGTTTTTGAAGAGATCATTGTGCAGAGAATGAAAAATGCAATAAATCTGCTTATTCAGATTTCTATTTGAAGTTTTAGCGAGAAAAAAAAATAGACTAAAATAAAAAAGTTTATAAATGCAAAAAATATCCTTCAGTAAGTGGTTCTCTAGCTAAACCATTTTACATCATTATGGTGCGCATCCGACAGCAAAAATGTTTAGTTCGTTGAGCTCGACAAAACAGGCTGTTTAAAAAATTTCTAAAATACTTTTTACTTCTTTGCTTAATGCATGAAGCGAAACAACTTACTACTACCGTAACTCAAAAACTAAAGGACTTAAAAATGAGATCATCAACTTCTCAATCTTAGTGATTCTTACAGATAATGACTCTTAAGTAATGATACTTTTATAAAAGATGTTGAAATAACAAATTGTCTACATAATTTACATCCATTAGATCACGCACCTCAGTGTTGGATGGTGAAGTGAAAAAATGAGTTTCTTATCTAACAAAAATTCATCAGCAGCTTTACTTCATATTCATATCTTATATGAACAAAGAAAAGATATGAGATACTAAAAAATGTTCAGCCCCTATCAATTCGTACTGTAAGACAATTAAATACTCACTGGAACATTACAGAGAGTCGGTATGCAGTAGAACTCCGTGTGGACTGGACTGAGTCCATAGTCCAGTGCAGTCCACATAAACTGGACTGTATTGCAAATTTTTTGAGCTCATGGACTCGGACTAGATTGTACTCAAACTTTCAAGATCGTGAATTGGTCTGGATTCGAAAAAAATTTTTGGATTCAGTCGAATCGAGAAGTAATGATTAAAAAACATGTTTCTGCATTGTGGATTCGACTGGCTCAGAATTTAGGTCCATGCGGAGCTGTATTATGTAGACTATCTAAAGCCATCTATGAATGTTCTACCAAGGGTAATTTTATATCATCTGTAATATGTGAAATACTACTTGTAATGATGTCACAATTAGAATTTTTCTTAACGTACACCGTATATCAACTGACTCACTCTGCGGTTAGAATGCAAATTAGTAAACAGTTTCTTTCAGTACGTTTTTGGCTTGAAAAACAAGAGTGACGTAAAAAATCATAGTCGTTTTATGTTTTAGATATTTATTTTTCTTCTCTAAAATACGAAAATACCAAACTATAACACACGTGATTAGAAACACTTGAAAAACGTATAACAACAAATAACAAGATAATTAATGTTTATATCAGTTCTTTTAATGATAACAATAATAAGAGAAGAAAAAAACTAAATCCATAGGCGTAGACAAAATATTTTCCATGCCCTTTTTCTTATGTTCTTCATTTCATTTTTCTTTTACTGGTTTCTTGGTTGTTGCATAACAATATGTGTTTGATTAAATTTTGAACCAGAATGATAGTCATGTTTTGGTATTGGTTTCTCTTGCATATGTTTCATTGCTTCGGTTGGAAATGCTTCTTGAATCTAAATAAAGAAAAATAAGAGTAAACGCAAAAAAAAAAAGATCAAAGAAAATCATACGTACTGGAACAAACGTGCCGCTAACCATTTGACCTGCTACACGTTGTGAAACAGCAGTTCCTGTTGCTTGCTGTTCTTCACCTTCAGCCGCTGTTTCACCAGCTTCTTGTGCATTTTCTCCACCTTCACTATCACCAGCACTACCAGTACCTTCATTAGCTCCACTTTTCGCTTTTTTATCTTTATCTTCATTTTGTGATGTTCGACGTGGTTGAGCTACGCGCATACCTCCAACTTTTACTGGAAATAAAATGAATTCAAAATGGTAGAAATGATCATATCATGGTAAAAACAATCTTCACTTACATGCCGGAGCATGACCAGCTTTCAAATCATTCTCAACTTTTTCGTTAACTGTGACTGGTTCATCTGACATGTTGAATAAAAAATTGATAATAAGACAAAAAACGGAAATTTAGGAATAATAATCTAGAAATGGTAAGATTTCAAAATATAGATGAATATAAGTAGAATCACATACAAAATGTGTATGCTTTTCTATTATGCATCAACGAAAGCTTTCCAGGAAAAAAATGAAGATCTCTACTTTTATTCAAAAATGAATTCACTTCTTTGAGATGTTATGAAATTGCTCGCTTCTGATAGTGTAAAAACGGTAAAGATCCAGTGAATATCAAATAAAAAATGTTAATTAAGTAAATACACGGTGTACAAGACGAGCTCGCACGAATAACACTAAGAAAAACTTTAGAAAATTGATTAGATAACTTTTGAATTTTGAAATGAAATCGTTTTCTAATGAACTCTTTTTGTATCTATGTTCATCGGGAAAAAATACAGATCATTGTTAGGCATGCACCAGTTATAAACCTGATATTAGGGCATCCAGAAGAATTATTATAATACGGTTATTAAGAATCGTTGAGACTTGTGGAACGTTTCATTTTGTAGACAAATGTTTGTTCTATCTATTTGTCGAAACAAAAAAAGTTTAAAGTTAATTGTGACAAAAAAAAAAAATGAGCATTCTTAAATGCCATAACTGTACGTGATAACTGGTCACGAGTTATATAACTGTTCGTACTTCTTCAGTAATTCGTTAAAAACGCTTCTCTTTTTCATTTTTT